CAGGCTTCGAGTGCGACTTTAAGTGAAACAGGTTCTGTAACGAACATGCAAAGTAACGAGAGTATTGAAAAATCCGCTCAAAGGATAGTTACGGCTTGTGGGAAGACGGCGTCAGCTGTTGGGTCATCGGAGAAAAAAGGACAAAGTTTGGCACAGGTTTTCTAAATTTAATCATGATACTAGACTTTCATTTTCAACTTTTTTCTACTATTATTTTGTTGGTTTTAGGAAAGTTCTGTGTCGGAAACTGGTCGGAAAGACAAAACTGTTTATGTAAACCGGTTTAGAAAACCAGTGTACGATGAAGGAGAGTTAGATGCTTCCGATCTTTCCCTCCCACCTTCGAGGTTAATGTTTTCGTTTGTTATTTGAAAAATATTTATTTATTCTTTATTGTTTTAGGACTAATCCACATCCATTTGACCCTTCTTTAAATCCATCTTTGTTACCACCGACACATTCGCATTCTCTTGCTCAATATGTAAATCATCTTCCATTGTTGCAACGCCTTGTCGACCTAGGGGTCAATCTACTCACAGTTAGTTGTTACTTTTGAAGGGTTCTATTCTTTATTGTAAAATTATCATATCAGATTGACTTTAGGTGGAGAAAACAACGGCTCTCGGCCGTCAACTTGTTAGACTGGATTGGGACCGAGTGGTCTTACCAAAGCTTGCATGGTTGATAAAAATTGGTGTTCCAGTAACAGAATTAGGGGACTATTTAACGAGGAACCCATATTTTCTAATTCAGAATCTTGATGATATGAAGGTTCTTCTTTGTCTTTGTCACTCAAGACTCTGAACTCAGACCGTTAGGTGGTTTGTGCTTTTTGCTCTACCAGTATTGTCGTGTGATAAACTTTTCCAGGCTCGCGTCAATTACTTGCTCTCAAAGAAGTTCAAAATGGCTCAAATTGCAAAAATTGTGGTTGCTTTCAGGTAACTTCGTATTTCTTTGGTTTAAATTGTCCTAGTAAATCGTTGATTTTATTTAAACTACTTTAAACACTTTACCCGACCATCTAAAGGTACTGGCTAAATTTTGATGTTCGTACAATCGATGCTCGTCTTGGATGGCTTCAGAAAAGTTTCGCATTGTCAGGGGATGAGGTGCGTAGTCTAGTAATACTGGAACCTCGAATTGTTATGTTTGGCGTTGGACCTTTGCAGGTTTCTCAACCATATTTGGCACTCTTTTTGATCGTACTTTTCTAATTGTTAAATCTAGTAGCGGAGAAGGCTTTTCATCTTTCCCCAATTTTAGTTTGTTTTATCGATTCTCTCTTCACCACCTATTGTCATTTTGTAATATCATAGGGTTAATTCTTTTCAGAGGCTTACAATGCTACTTTCTGAAGAATTCGGTTTTACGAAGGATCAAGTGAAAGAGATGTTAATGAAGGAGCCGCGTCTTTTTATGCAAGGTGACGATTACTGCGTGCATTTAAAAGGAGAACTTATGGCCATTTTAACTGTTTCAAAAATTGATTTCTCAATCCCTGTTCAAGTAGATTTTGCTAAAATTTGATCCCATACTTGTTAAGCAGAGTAAGCTACTATTTATGCTGTACATTTGATTAATAGAAGAAAAGGCCGCACCTTTCAGTGCAATTGGCTGTTTTGCAAAATCACTATAGTCACTATCAGTCTGATATCTCTAATTTATCGTGTAGTTATTTAATTATATATAAACTCTACAATGTTATTATATGACAAAGCCGTTTTCCTATACATATTTAGAAGAAAATTGTGATTTACAAAAACAGAAAGGCGTTTTGAAATTATGCTCATAAAAGTCTGCTTTGGGGGAAGAAACAGTTGTGTAAACTGTTCGTTCTTTCTAGGAATGTGTTTTTTCTCGCTTTCTTGGCATCTAATTATGCGAGTTGTGTTTTTTATGCAGTGCCTTTGCTAGTCTAGATGTCTTCATGAATTCAAGTTTTTGTGGTAACCTTTGCTTAAATGTTTCATTCTCTTCTTAAATAAGATTAGTGTCGTTTAACTTTTTTAAATGCGTTTTGTTATTAGATCTCTTAAGTTCATGTCGTTTCCTTTGCAGAACTGACTATTCTACTTTTTTAAAAAGTATTTAGTTGTTGTTCTCCATATATCTTGTTTCTCTGCTCTTCTTTTGCTTCTTTAGAACTGATGCACTTACAACAACTTCTAATGCTGCAGTGTAGTTATTAATAGAGAGCTGTTACTTAATCACTTTGCTCTTTTCAGAGGCCCCTCAAGTCGCTGCTTCGTATCTGTATCTTCAATTTACTATGGGTCTAAGCAACGAGCAAATAGCAAATTATCCGCTGGCTTTAAGATGTCCTATAGCTTCTTTACGACGGCGACACGAATTTTTGCTTAGGTTAAGACGAGCTAATTACACACCCGGAATGTCGGAATACGTATCACTTCCCTCTCTTTTACATCCATCTGATCAGTACTTTGCAGTTCATGTTGCAAAGTCTTTTCTTGCTGCTTATAACGCTTTTCTTAAAAAAGTTTAATTAGTTGTTATTCAATGCCATAAAAGCTGTATTTAGAAATACGGGGTGCAAAAATTTTTAGTTCCCCTCTTAAAACGTTCCACACGGACAGAGGAGATTAGCCGTTTCAGTTTTTACTCGTTTATGGCTTTGAAAAGTTCTTCAGTTCAGTTTAGTAGTTGTATTTGCTGTTGAAGAAACTTGCAGCAGTTGTACAACCACTTTCTTATTTCCTGGAGTAGGATGTGAAAGAGTTCAACAATTTTTAAGGTAATTGTCACTTTTCTTTTCATTGTGGATCGCTTAGTCTCGCAGACTACATTGCGGCAATTCTGGTAAGCACTGCATTTGAGGTATTGCCGGATATATTTTCTGCTTTGAGCGACCATCCGTCGTAATATTCAGTCATTTATTTTATAGCAACCCGAAGTCGTGCAACTCGCTTCATTATCGAATGTAGAAATAAAGGGTTTTTTGCACCCTGTAGTCCAGCTTAAATTTTTTCCCGTTTGTCCTGTCTCCTTTTCGTCACGGGTCTAGAATAAATTGATGAACATGCATTTTATAAATAAATGTAAACTTTACACTTTCCTTTCATTCCACTACTGTTTCCCCATCGTTCGCAACAACGGGAGGAGATAAGTGTTCTGGAGCATGATGTAGTCTAAGGGTCTACTGATTCATTTGGTTATGTTTTGCATTGTTTCTTAAGAGCTGAATAAAAGCTGCATTGAGAGGATTGCTCAGCATATTGTTTTTTTGCCTGGAATGAAAACTTCATATCAATCTTAACTGTTGAGGTTACGCCGACTCAAATAAAATCAGTGATGTCAAAGGAGAATTTGTTGATTTTACGATAATTTAACAAGGGCTTACATTGAAAGGCTGAACTAAGAAAGCTAGATTTTTAGTCACTTTCTCATTGGCCAATAGGCAAGCAAGAAAACAGTGATGTCGCATCGTGAAAATTTTATATCTAGAAGAAAGCATAGGCGTGGATTTGCCTGCATTATTTATCCTTGATTTTTTAGCCAAAGTTTAGTGCCTTTTTTCGTAATCCGTGTCACTCCTTACTTTTTTTAATTAAATGAGGAAGATAATGGCGACTGTATATTTTCATAATGGTTTGTTAATAATAAATGACATCTAGATGGAAATTTTTTTCGTCTGATTTACGATTTCGACAGAAGCGAAATACTGCTTTGGAGGGAATCGTTTTACGTTTGTGTAGGAGAACAAAAGGAGTAAGATGATCTCTGTTAGAGAGAAGAAACTCATCTGTATGTTACTCATCTGTATGTTACGTTCTCTTTTCTTTGTAGAATAGATCTTAGTTCCACATTTTTGGCTATTTCGGTAACTAAGCAACCTTGCGTAAGTATAGTACGTTGCTTTAACTTTATGCATATTTTGCTAGTTCACTTATCCACAAAAAAGTTAGTTAGGCTAGTGTTAAAGAAAGCATACGGAGCTACCGTTTCTTCTCCAAAATTAAGGATAAGGGTTGAAAGAAGGGAAAATAATTTTGACCGGACCAGTAGAATTTGGGTTTCGCTGCAGTGTAGCTGCACTCTAAATACGATTGGTGAGTGGGCCGAAGCTTAAACATCCGGATAACCTTTTGAGAGCTTTGACCAAAAGTGTTTTTATTGCGTCTTGCTCACTCGAATGGAAAACGTTACTGCTCTGTAAAATGTTTTATTTGCAGCTAGTTTGAAGTGAAGTTTTAGCAAACATTGATTGTTCTGAAGTGTTTCAGTTTTATGGAAATTCTCGCCTACTTCTCAGCACAGGGATGGTACTGGGAAAATTACTGACTTTAGTAGACATCTAAACACAAGTTACTGTAGATCTGGTTGGAAAGATTTGTGCGATTCACAGTTTATTTTCTATCACTATCAAATGCAGCTGTGCTATCACTGTATTATGATGGGTAAAATTCAGTTTCATTACTTTCGCTACTCACACAGCCCTAAGTTTGAGAGCAGTTATTGAAAAGGCTTATGCAGTTGTCTGTTTTATCACGTACAATTCTCAGAATTTGCTGTATTACAAAGAGCGACCAAGGGGCTCAAATTTTCATATTCTTTTACCGGAATAAGGCAGGAAGGCCTTAGGATAAACCCCAAAGTCTCTCAAAACTTGTAACTTACTATTTAAAAAGCAAACATTTGAAAGTAATTAGAGTAACGAGGACTGGAGAAGTATTAGTGGCAAAACTTTAAACTGAAAATGATCGTCAATTTTAAATTGACTTTTTTCAAACGATTATTTAAACTCTACACGGTTTGACACTAACCTTTTGATTTCCTAGTATCAATTAGTATTACTGCTTAAATGTGCCGGTAATTTTCTACTTCAGCGCTCAAAGTTGATTTTTTTAGACTTCAGCCGGCCATCCTCATTCCATTCTCTGTGTAAGGAGCCTTCATTGAACGTTAATAAGGTTAAGCGTTTGTTTTCTTTCAATGACATTTTTCTTCGATTTCCTTGATGGGTCGCGGTTCTGTATTTTGCGAAAAAGAGATATATAAGGTGTTTCAGTAAGCTTTGCCTCTCATTTTTAAAATCTGTCAACAACACTTTTTGTAACAGTTTTTCTTGACGGATTGTTCAAAGCCTTTCTTCCTCATGTATTATTACAATCACGTGACTTCTGCCTCCACACAGCTCTTGGAGGCCAGTACTTCCCAAATTCCGGTTAAAAAAACCAAAAGCCTCTATATCAATTAAGAAGAAGCAATGACTGTGCCGTATTAAGATAAAATGGACTATTGGTCCTTCAAACGATGAGCAGTGGTCATTGAAGTCGTTTATACTCCCTAACAAAATCCTAGTGTGAAGAAAGAAAAGGCTATTGGAGGATTCCAAATGGCCTCATAAAGTTGGTCCAGTTCAATTAGTATTGCTGCACATCTGCAACGTAATGGGTTATAACAGCAGAATTTTGCACTTTCGTGCATCTGACCAGGGTCCACTATATCAAATGCAGGGATAATTACGCAACACGTCTTAACCGCATGTAACTAATTTCATTATCCAAAACCTCTGAAACAGTAATCTGATGCCGCCAGCAAGGTTCGTTTTCCGTCCCCTTCCCGACCCCGTAAACCTCAACTAAAGCAAAGCTCCAACTGCAAAATGTGATGAAGCACACCCTAGCTCCGTGCTTAATAACATTAAACAGAAGTTGTGAGGTTCAGCTGGCGTCTGCCAGCCGTAAATCATACTCGTGAAATATTACATTTCACTTCTGTGTACAACATCTTCAGGTAATCCACAGCCGTTTAGAAAACTAGCGCAAATTTTCAAAAATACCATTATTTCTGAATTCACCATTTTTTTCCAGAAGAATTCCGGTAATATATTCCTTCCGCACTTGATGCTTGAAAACTTTTATTAGAACCTAAAAAACAGATAACTAACCCAACAAAAAGTAAATTAAGCTCAAGCCACAACATTGAGTGTGACGACAGTTACTAATGAAAAAACACCTGAAAGTAATCGAAATAAATTACGATGAGATTTTCAACAAGTGTAGTTCTTTATAAGATTTGAAATTTGACAAACCATTATTTCTTACAAACTACGCCCACTCACAAAAAGGGAGAAAAGGCCACTACGTCAGACAAACAACAGGTAGCATAACGTTACACAAAGAAAGAGATGACAGCACACGTAGTAAAGTGCAAAACTAAGAGATCACCGGCAAGTACTTTGTCTAAAAGCTAAATCACACGGACTAAAGATCACAACAAATTGAAATCACATAAATCAATTCAGTAATGGCCTAAAAAAGAAAAGCGAATTCAGATCAAAAATAAATCTCTGACTGCTTTAAGAGAGTAAGCTCATAATGCTTCATAAAACCCAATCACGTAAAATAGCAAAACTGAGAAGGGACTGAATAGAACTACGGAAAATTCTAGGCCCTTCTCATAATGCAGCAACGGACACATCTTCTTCCGGCTTCCTGATAATCAGTTCTGCCGGAGGTATCATGCGCTCTCCATAGTTTAATTTTTTCGTTGCTTCCGTGTCTTGTAAACTAGGCTGACGGCGCTTCTTAATGTATTTGATGGTCTCATGTACCATGACCATGACAAGAAGCGGGATAGGCGTGAAGCTGGCGCAGATAACAGGGATTAGTGCACTAATATCAGAATCAGGCTCAGGAAAAGAAAACTGAAAAAGGCACTGTCAGTTAAACAAGAAGTCTATATGACTTTACACAACAAGGAATCGTTTTGCCTCCGAGAGCGTAATCTAGCTATAATACGTTGTTAAAAGATATCCAGTCTCTTGAAAAAACACAGTTCGAGGATGAGTCCGCGAAACCTATCTGTTAAAGTCGTCAAATCTGTCTTTTTGAATGGTATTTTCCTAGCTTAGCTGTTCTGTACTATAGACTTCTCCCTCGTACCTAAACAGTTAACTAAGCAAAGTGGTATCAACACCAAAAAGTACCTTTAGCAACATTATTGCGATCCCTGTATTTTGAATTCCAGTTTCGATTGCTACAGCAGTCACCACCTTTGGACTCTGACGTGTAAAAAGTGATGCAAAGCAGCCAACTGTAAAACCGCACCAAGGCAACAACAATCCTCTAAAACCAATCCAACAGATTTTTCATCCTTTTATTTGACCAAAACCAAAAAATGTAACCAAAACAAATGAAAACTGAAACAAAATTATTTCAGATTGTTGAAATTTTTCCAAAATTACAACTCATCACGCTTTCTACTTAAAGATGTTTGAAAAATAAAAATCTGCTTCACAAAGTCACTTACCCTAAAAGAGCTGTCCACGTTAGAAGCTTGAACATATATAAATTGGCAGCTGCCCCAAAACAAACTAGGAAAACAAGAACGAAAATGAGGAACGGGCGCATAACCTAGAAAACAATAAATTCGTGATTTGCCTGCGTAAAATCGCGAAATCAAAAATTTCTTGGCGATGGCATTTTACGGCTGCTTCTGACTAAGAAATGAATGACAACTAAAAACTAAAAGTACCTTTCGGACTTTGGTTTGAATTGTCGGCCTCCATCGTGTTAACATAATTCCGATCATTAAAGGTATAAACAAAGTGAACAATGATGAGATAATTTTGGCGTATGGCATCTTTATCTGATACCCTGCATCATAACTGCGCAAGAAATGTGATCCTAAAGCCCACATCCACGCCGGCATTAACACTGGAATTAAAGGAATTATACGTGTTCAGCTTCACTAAAATAGTCAACACTATTATCAACTTCAAAGTCACTGCATTTCAAGCAACAATTACTCACTAATTTAAACAACGCACCTAGAGCTGCAGTCGTGCTTAAGAAAGTCATAGTGATTGACACTGGAAGGTCTCCATCTAGCAACAATGTCCAATAATTACTCGCGCCACCTCCAGGAGCACAACCACAGACAAAAAGACCCAGCGCGAAAGAGTGTAGCCCTTCGCTCATGAAAACTATGGTTGCGATGCTGTACGCTAGCTGTGAAACAAAAACTTCAGAAACAGTAGCCAGTAATAAACACAGGTTTTTCAAATACCAAGCCATATTTTCTAGCGAAAAAGCAAAATAAAAATGAATTACCAATGGCATAGCGATGAACTGTGTACAGAAACCAATAAGAGGAGGAATGGGCTTCTTTAGCGTCTCCAAAACCAAGTTTAAGTCAAGCTAGAAAATAGAAATCCAGTTAACCATTCCAAAATTCAAAAAAGTAATTAGACGCCTAAATATCAAGACAGATAAAAAGTGGTTTTTTGGCCGCCCACCTCACAACCCATGAGTACATTTGCTATTACAATCAGCAGCACCAGCGTTGATAGAAATATATGATTAACTACACGCCCTCGTTGTTGTATGACCCAGACATCAAACATATTTTTACTTTTTAGTGTCTAAAATTCCAAAAAAAATATTTAAGATGAAAAACAGAAAATCTTGCCTTCAAAAGCATTCAATCTTATAGCTTACACATTCACGCGGCAGTTCTTTGTAATCTGCATCGCCTGGCTCCAGTAAATCGTCTGCTACAGAAAGCCGAACACAAATTGCCGTTTTTCCCAAAAAATTGCCTCTCATCGTGAAGTTTTTCTTAAGTGTATATTAAGTATAGAATAAAAAACTTAGTTCATCCAAACCAACTCACAGTTCCTCATAATGAAAACAGTAGTCAAGAAAATAAAATGACCTTGAAAGACAAGTGAAAAAAAATTAAAAAGAAAAACGAAAAGATGTCACTGTAACGGTCAGATTTACCTAAGTCATATTTAGCTCACATAAACAAACTTTATTCTAAAAGAAACCAATCTCTACTGTTGCCCTTAAAAGTGGAAGCAACTAAAAGGTAACCTGATAATGGAAAGGAGAATTTGAGTCATTAGGATCCAGCTGACTGTATAACCAATCCTCATCTTTGCTGGATATAGATACAATTTCTTCGTTCATAGACCTGCAAAATAATTAAGAACTAATTTGGAAGTTTCATAAATATATTCAACAGCCAATGTAAAAATGATTATCTTTTTTTTGTACACTTACTTCAAAACAATAGCCTTTGATATAGTGGCTAAATGAGACTTGTTATGGCCATCGTTGTTAAGGGTCATACGTACTACCGCACTCTCACCAGTAACTAAGTCGTGGACGTACGGAGGATTAAAAGTAATAGAGAATGTTAGACCTTTTGAGGTTGCTACAGAAATAACCACTTGCGACAGAAGTCGTAATAGAAAAAGGAATGGACAGCCACGCCGCATCATTGCCATTTCGGTTTGCAACTGCGTATCCACCCCTAAACATCCAACTACAAATAACTTTCAGGACAATGAAGCTACTAACAAATCATAAGTTTTTCATCTGTTTATTCAAATCAACCAAGTGTCATACAACAGATAAGCACAGCAAAATGGCATTAACGCTTCATAACTACAGAAGCAATAGAACCTACGGCATAAAGTACACCTGTTGGTCAAGACTGTTTACTAATTTTCTCGTGGCGACTATCAAACTAGGCTAAAAAAAGCAAGTCTCAGCAATGTATACTGTAACTGCATCTTTCTCTGTCCGTCCTAACCACTCGACAGTCAATAACGCTAAACTAGCATTATTACAAAAAAGAAGAGAACAGAAAAAAAAAAAGGAATTGAACATGATTGTCAGGTCAGTTAATAAACACAATAGATAAAAACAATGAAACAAAAAACTCTGAACTAAATAAACGACATTTCCGATAAGACAAAATAAGATTTTTTTCGGATTTTTACCTTACCGAAACGCTGCTCAAAAGCGTAAGCGTCTTCTGATTTCAGACCAAAAGTAATAATTTAACAACTGTTAGAGTCAGTGCAATTTCTGCTGATTAGGTAGCAAGTTCCTTTTTCCCTCCCTTTCTACCTTCATCATTACAACCCGTCCGTCAGCAAGTGGATGAAGAAGATTTAACTCAAAAACCCTGGCAGAAACGAAAGGAGCCGACAGCAATGAATGGCATACGTGAGAAAGCTAACGATAAAAAGAAAAAAAAACAACTATAATTGTGGAAACAAGTTCTACAAATTTTTGAACAGTCAGTCTACTACTGATCATAAGGTAACTGTTGCTGAATCAGTGAATGAATGTTAAGTTAGGCAGCCAGTAACTACAACAATTTGCCTTTCGGCTCAACACCAAAGTTGAGACTTGTAAGCCAACAAAGGCACTAAAGTAAGTGTCAACAACCTCTCAACAAATGTTCGGCTAAGTACCGTTGTCGCTCACGCAAACTTGGCCGTTCATTAACTCAGTCAGTCAGTCAGTCAGTGAGTCAGTCAGTTAGTCAGTCAGTAAGCGAGTCAGCGAGTGTGCACATCTGACAAGTCTTAGGCTGCCAGTAAACCCTCACTATACCTGTCTATATTTTTTTTTGCGCCTAAGTATGTGTGTGTCTGTTTGTATCAGAATCTCTGTGTGTCTGTGCTTTTTTTTTTTCTGTTTGTGTGTAACCACCAAAACTGACAAATTTTTTTTTACAACCAAAATATGTTTTGTTTCAGAACAGAGGCAGCACTTATAATAGAAATATTGCACTCAAATATTGCTTTGATTTTTTTCAAGTC